TGTGTGTGTGTGTGTGTGTGTGTGTGTGTGTGTGTGTGTATTTCTGTCTGTGCGTGTGTGGGATCACTGGGATGTATTGTGTACTGACACTGTACTCATTGTTCTCCCCTTCTGTGGTGTGGCATTGCAGAATTTAGGTCTCAGCCTGTTAACGGCAGCAGAAGTGGAAGAAGCAGAAGGGAGAAGAGAAGAGGGCAACCGTCTACATGATGAAGCCGGCTGTACCAATYGTCGCCCTTGTGGCCATAGGGCTGCTGTTGCTCGTTGTGCCCACCATTGCTGGTGACTGGWTATGTCATCCTSAAACYGACCAGAACGCATATACAARGAAGARAATCGACTGCAAAAAGAACCCGGCAGCGGCAAGCGWGAGTGGGTGCCAAGATCTGTGTGACAATGACCCCAAGTGTTACGGAATCGTTTACGCAGACTACAACTGGCCCAAAGGCAAGTACTGCTGCTTCCTCAAAAGTAAAATCGACYCTAGCAAGTGGAGGTACCAGGCGGACCGCACTSTCTGTGAGTACGGAGAMGATTGAGTCCGATTGACAGAACAACTGCAGTGGATTATCGGTTCCAGCTGCGGTTTGAACGGCAGTGTTGCACTGAAGAAGAAGAGCTATCTATCCACCACTGGTAGTGCCAGCTGCACTCAAAAAGAGCGAAGCACGCAAAGCGAAGACAAGAAGCACCACCGGTCCGGGGGATAGCAGCACCAGAGTGTAGTAGTATAGATGGTATCATCACGATGGGACACTTGTCATATTGTTGCCTACGTCAGCTGCACTGCTGCACTGTTGCCGTAATCAACTGCAATTTATGTGCAAAGATCATTCATTACCAAGACTAGACGACAWGTGCAAGCAAGCTGATGGTCCGTGATGGAGTATTAAATGGAGTGAGACAAAAAGATCACGACCAAAAGCTTATTATAGAATGCGTAAGGATGCTACTAGACATTGCTAGGTCCTGCATTAGAGGGCATGCGAGATGCAGGCAGGAAAAAAAACACAGTGTGGCTTTTCCGACTTTCCTGTTTGGTGACCTGATGAGTGCCAGGCACACGACGGCTTTCCTGTTTGGTGACCTGATGAGTGCCAGGCACAAGACGACTTTCCTGTTTGGTGACCTGATGAGTGCCAGGCACAAGACGACTTTGAATCCTGTTTGGTGACCTGACTGCCAGGCACAAAAGTTGTCACAGTGCTGCCTGTGCAGAAAGAACGACTTTTATGACTGATAGTTTGCTGCTATATTGTTGATCTGCAAGAAGGAAAAGAACTTCAACGTGCCTTACGTTATTTTGTCTGTACTCTCTTRTCGCCGTGTCGTTCTCCTCCTCATCCTTCTTCTTCTTCTTTTCAATGTGCTTATCTTCGTACAGGTCTTCCATTCCTCGTGCCTTCTATTTTAAAWTTTTTTGAACGGAGTGAATATGACCAAAAGCTTGTCATCGAATGTGTAAAGATGCTAGTAGTTCCTGCAGTCGCAAACATGCCATTGGGAGAATTTGGAACGATGGATTTTCCGCCTTTMCTGTTTGCTGACTTGATGACAACGATGAGTGGCAGGGCCGCACAAGAAGTTTGGGTGCAGAGAAACGGGTAATATCATAATGACGGCTACCGCTAGACCATTTGTCACTGACTCGTTGTTTCTTGGCATTGTTGGGAAGGAAACAGAGGTGCCTGAGCTCTCGCTTTCGGTCTACTCTCTCTTCTAGCTCCCTTCCTCTTGCKCTCTCTTGTTCTTCCTTACTTTTGTCGGTCATTCTTCTTGTCTTCTTTCCCGCATCCTGAATTAGATTTCGCTCTCCGACAGAACAGGACCTGGACGAACACCTTGCTTAGTCTTTCTCTCCCCGATTGCTCGAACAATGCCTCATGGATTCATTGGATTGCAGCCGACTGCTGAATAACCTGGAATGATCGCACACTTCCACTGCTTAGGAAGACAACACACACACACACACACACACACACACACACACACACACACACACACACAAAAAAAAAAAAAAAAAAAAAAAAAAAAAAAAAAAAAAAAAAAAA